CATGGCGAAGCCGCTGGCAAACGGGAGAGGGCACGCCAGAGGGTGGGGAGGGGGAAGGAGGCGGCGGTGGCAAGGAGGAGTGCGCACCTTCGTTCGTATTTCACTTCGGCGGGCAGTGTGCCCACCGCGCCACCAAGATCAAGAAACAGCTTCGGCCGCGACGAAGGCACAGGTTGCGCACGTCAGACAGCCGACCTCCGAATGCCTGCTCGCAGCGTTTTTGTCGCAATGGTGGGGCGGCACGGATAAGTACATGCATCGACGGGCCAACGCTAGATGGCGCCCTCGATGCACGTATCCACGCCCGCCAACGACCTTTCGAAACCCAGACGTCCCCCCCCCCCGTCCACCCACGCCCGTTCCCCGCAGCGGGCGGGCTCGCCTCTCGCGGCGCCCTCGCCGCGCAGGCAAAAAAAAAAAAAAAAAAAAAAAAAAAACGCGGCGCCCGGGCAGGCGCGGGAAGAACCCCCCCGTCGACGGCCGCGCGCGGGGAGCCCGGCCGAGACGGGCCTCCCCCGCCCCAGCACCAGGAAGGGGGGAGGCGGGACGGGGGGGATAAGAGGGGGAACTCCCTCCTCCTCCCTCCTCCTCCCTCCTCCTCCTCCTCCTCCCCGCGAGGAGCTCCGGGCGATCTCGACTTCGAAGCCCGGGGAGTGGGAAGCTCGCCATCGCTCGGACGTCCATTCCCTGTGTTTTTGTCGGTTTCGTGCGTGGCTTTTTCGCCAAATGATCAAGGATGCTCCTCGATGGCCCTCGCCGAGAAAAAAAAAGCACGCGTCCGAGCGAGGCCAGGGGGAAGGGGCGCGGCAATCGGCGCAGCCCCTGTGCTCTTCCGCCGCCCCCCAGATTGCGACGGGGAGGGCGCCCAACAACCCCCCCTGGCGACCCCCGGCGAGCCCCAGCTGCCCTGATGGCTGACTCCCGCCATCGTCTGTCGTGGTCTTCGGCGTCGTCTCCCCATGCCCGCCCCCCGCCCCCACGCGCCCCCCCCCCCCCCCCCCGTCGCTTCCGCCCGCGTCGCCAGTTGCCCCCTCCCCACAAGCAGGGCGCGGCGGAGGGCACGGAACGCAGACGGCGCCGCTCGCCCCCCCACCCCACCCGTTCGCCGGCGACGACGTCTAGCCGCCAGCGTCGCGAGGGCCAGGGCCGCCGCGTACCAGCCGACCTATCTACGCGTTCTCATGGTGCGAACGGTTCAGAACGCCCCCCCACTCTAACCGCCACCGCCGCCCCACGGGCAGAGCCCCCGCCGCCCCCGCCGCGAGGGCAGGGCGCCCTCGAGCGGCCAGAGCGCCAGCGATTGCCGAAATTGCTCCAGGAGGGCCCGGGGAGTCACGCGACGGCCTCCAATAAGGCCCAACTGCGGCGCGTGCCCCAACGGGCCGCCAGGCAGCTCCAAGTCGAGCCCGAGCGGTCGCGCCACCCTTCCCCCAAGGCACCCTTCCCAGGGGCCCAAGAGGCCTTGCGCCCGGATTCACTCCACGTCACACGCGCCCCCGCCGCCACTGCTTCCGATTGGCCCCGGCTGCGCGGCGGCCCCAGCGAGAAGAATCCCAGGAGGGCGCCGCGACCGACAGCGCCGGGGCGCGCCCCAGGGGCGCCCCACGAGGGTCGCAGACGCATCGCTGCAACCGGGGCGCGCGCGGGGGGCGGGGGGGGGGGGGGGGGGGGGGGCGCGGCGCCCCCGGCGCGTCGAACTGCGCCGCCGAGGGCGGCCCCGAGAGGCCCCCAGGAGCGCCCGCGACGCCACGAGGGGGGGGCGACCCAGGGGGGCGACTGTCGACCCCAACAAAGCACCGAATCATCCCGTAGACTTGCCCCAGGATGGCCCGAAGGGGCGCCCAGGAAGCGCGCGGGGCGGCAGACCGGCGAAGGTCTTCTGCAGATGAGTCGTCGTCGTTGCCGTCGGCGCTTGCAACGTGCCCCCCCGCCCCCCAGCCCCCCATCCCGCCCCGCATACTCACCCTCCTTCCTCAAACCACTCATCGCCTTGCTCTTCTCGCCCCCCCACATACACCCCTCGCCTCGCCATCCCCCGCCATCATGTTTGCCCCCAGGTAGCCCCCCCCTTCATCCACCGCGCGCCCATACGCGGCGCCGGCGCAGGAAACTCAGCTGCGCGACGTTTCTGACTGAGCTGGCGGGGACGCGCGAAGCGCCAGTGATTCTGGACGCCAGCCCAAACAGGCCTTCATCAATCTGAACCCTCTTTCGGCGGCGTCGCTTTGGTTCCAACGGTTCCCATCGACCGGTGACGCGCTGGGCTGAGCAGCAGCGCGTTCAGAAACACTCGCGACGCACTTCCTCGCGTTGTCCTCGTCGACCGCGGCGTCGGCTAGCACCCAGACGTCAGCGCCGTCGGTCTTCGCGGGGTCGCCACTCGCGAGGTAGATGAGGGGGGCCTCTTTTCGGCGGGAAGTCGCTGTCGCCGCGGGACACCAAGCGCGCGATGTGTTCGATGTACTTGCGCGAGTCCACTGGCGGCCTGCCTCTCCCGATCTTGTTTTTCATTCTCAGCAGCTGCCTGAAGGCCCGCTGCGCATGAATGCGGCTGGCGTTGTCATTCATGACGAGCCCCCAGTGAGTCGCGCCGTTCATCGCGTAATCACCATTGCCGGCCCAACATTGCCGGCGGCGCGGCTCCCCCAACCCAGCTCAAGAAATGACCGACCACCCGCCGACGGAGCATCTCGTTCTCAGCGCTCGGGTTGGCCCTGGCGCCGTCGAGGTTCACGCGCCAAACCTTCTGCGCGAACGGCGCCGCGCACTGCGACGCGGACCCCGACAATCCCAAGCCTCAGTCAAGCTGTCAGACGATGCGCTGCACACGTGCTGCAACACGTCGGTTGTCGCACCGCTGATGTCCCACGATGCTCCGCCGCGCTTGCCCCGAATAAGGATGCCAAAGTTGGACTTGCGTTCTGCAAAATATTATTCTGCGTCACAGTCTCCACTTTGAGTTCCACCCCCATGGCTTGCAGCGAAGACGGAGCCGAAACGATCGCGGTCACAGGCCCACGGCAACAAGCAGCAGCCTCTACAGCACCTTCACCTGGACCATCGTCAAAGTCGCGGCGGCCGAATTTAATCGGGCTCTCATCGTAAAAAACGATGTCGATGTACTACGCGTGCTCAACCTGTGGAAACAATGTCAAGACCCGCCCGATGCGAACGCGATGGCCTCTGTCGTGCAAGATACAGCTCTCAACAGAAAAACCAACAGCGTATCAAAGGCCCCCTGGCCCATGCCCGCACACTCCGATTGGACGCGCTTGCTGGAGACGGAATTCGTACCGCCGCCGAAATATTCCTGGATCGACGATGTTGTTTTCTGTTGGGCGCCTGTGGTGCGCAACGTAATAGGCGTGAGCTCGGCGATCCGAGAAAATATGATGCGGGAGGAAGTCCAGCTGATGTGGCCCCCTTCGCAAGCAGTCGATGGCAACGCGGCCACTTGATTTGGCAGCGCGCCCCCCTGCCCCTGCCACCTCGCCCTTTTGGCTTGGAGGACGCCAGGAAGAGGCCCGTCGTCCGCGCGGCGGCGCCGCCGTCGGTCGTGAGCGGGCGGCGGAGCTATGTCCGCGCCGCCAATGTCTGCGTCACCATCAGCGGTGGGTTCGCTATTGTCGGACGCCTACGGGTCGCGATCCTGGCGGGTTTCAGCCTTGGCCCACGGATCGGCGCCGCCGCCTGCGTCCATGCCGACGGCGCTGGCCGAGGGCCGAAAGGGCGCTGGAACCAAAACGACTACGGAGGCTGGGAAGGGCTTGGAAGGCACAGGAAACGAAAGAGCCAGGAAGGTGCTCTCGTTGCCACGGCTGGATCCGCCCCTCGTCGCCACGTGTGGACACGCATCGAAAGCTACCGCAGCCACGGCTGCATCCGCCTCGAGCGCATCCCGTCGCCGCGGCTGGGCCCGCCTCTCGTCGCCGCGGCTGGCTTTGCCTTCGTTGTCGCCGCTGGATCCGCCTCTCGTCGCCGCGGTTCGAACCGCCTCGACTGTTCCCGCCGCCACGGCTGGGTCCGCCTCGAGCGCACCTCGTCGCCGCAGCTGGGCAGGCCTCTGGTCGCCACGGCTGGTCCTGCTCTTGTCGTCGCGGCTGGATCCGCATCTCGTTACCGCGGCTAGATTCGCCTCTCGTCGCCACTGCCGCGTCGCGTCTTGACAAGAATCAAGAAATCTAAAGACCTCCTTACACAGCTCAACTATGATGACACATGTATGTGAGCCTGGCGCGCTCGCGAAAAGTACAAGGACACTCCATTCGAGACTTCTGGTACATTTCAACGCATCGTACCAAAACACTGCTCCTGGAACTTTACACCACACTTTCTGGGTTCCCAAAACGAAAACATATGTTCAGGGATTGCTGATCACGGGCTACTACCAGTGCGCGGGGCCCAGGCTTCAAAGGTCACTCCAGCGAGGGGTCACTCATCTTACGCGCATTCGACCCCAACCATCCGTCCTCTGGCTGACAGCCCGATGTCCCTGGGGATGGGGAAACAAAACAATACCGATACCGCTACTCCCCAGACCTCTCCCAGGGAGCGTTCTGGCCGGACCTTCGAGCGAAGTACAGCCGCCGCGATGAAGGCTCCACTGACATGCGATGTCCTGATTGTTTCAATACGCGGTCCCCAGAAACCCCGACCCCTTCCCCAGGGCCAGTTCTTCATCGTGTCGTTGTTTGACGGTCCCAGGGCCCGGTAAGGGCCCCCAAAGGTTTAAAATTGAGAGAAACGCGTCCATAATTGTTCAGGATGTTGCATGTCTGGATCTTCGTGGCGAGCAGCGGTATCCGGTTCGTGTTCTCCTCTCTGGGGGGAGAGCGCCGCGACCCCCAGGTCCGCAGGATCCGAGGCCCAGCTGGCGCCGGCTGGCAGAGCGCCGGCGGCCGGGGCGCCTGTAGGAAGAAAATGCTGCCAAAGCTTAAGCCAAGGCGAGCGCCAGATAGCGTCTTCCATTCTTGCTTTCGTGGTCGTCGTCCCTCGTACCACTTCCGCCCTGCCACCAAACGAGGTCGAAACGAAAACGGCCCACGGAATCGCCAAAGCACCGTCCAGCTCGCGCCCTGACAGAAGCGCTCGGAGCTGTGCGCGGATTTCTAAGGGTCTGCGCCGAGCCCCCCTCCCGGGGATGGACAGACCTCCCTCTAGCAACACGTGGCTTCGTGAAAACGACCTGGGGCCCAACCCTGGCGGGCGCAAGCCTGGAGAATGACGGCCCCGGCGCCCTCTCGAGGACCGAAAACGAGCGATTCACTCAGCGACGTGGCACTGCTGGGGGTCCTGTCCAGCCACGAGGCCCTCCCCGGCGTGCGGGGCGCGCCGCCAGGGGGGGGGGGGAGGGGCCAGCGCACCCCCGAGCAGTCCGCGCGGACCTCCGAAAAGCCTTCTGCCTGTGCCGCTTGGTCTTCCTCGGGCGCCGGGCGGCGGCGGCTCGCCAGCGGCAGGTCCTGGGGAGATTGAAAAAAGGTGCTTTAGTAGTGGAAGCAATTGGTTTTCAAAATGTTTGGTCTTTAGAAGCTCTGCGTGGCGACGCCCCCGTCGCCACGCGTGCCCTCTGCAAGCCTGCGAGGACGCCGCCACGTAGAAGTACTGGAGACCGAGCATTTGGGGCGTCGCTACGCACGCCCTCTGCGTGGCTGCGACCATTTGTTCAAACCCTAAAACCAATTAAATTCACTAATAAAGTACTCAGATGGCCGCGGGGGGGTGCTAAGGGGATGGGGGCTTAGAAGCGGATGCTACGGTGGGTTGCATCTTATAAGTGGGCCGCACTTCTCCCAAGTGGTATCAAGGGGGCAAGATAACTCCGCTGCGTGCGCGGAGCCCACCTAATCTGGACCGTGAACACCCCCAAACAACTTCGGGCATCTGCAACTCACTCATAAGCTGGGTCAGGTCAGACACACAACCCATCCCAGCATCCGCTTCTAAGCCTCCTATCCCCTTGGCACCCCCAGCGGTCGTCCCAGCGCCGATACTGCCACTCCCCGGACCTCTCACGAGGCGCGTTTCGACTAGGATTTCGCGCAGAATCTGGCCGTGGCGACGACGGCCTCCGAGGAGGCTCCTGGACGGCAAAAGCGAGGGCATGGCAGCAGCGGCATCGGTACCCTTTCCCTGAGATCCGACGTGATGAAACGAATAGAACTGCAGCACTGCAAGAAATCACCGCCGGAGCCCCTGGACCCCATCTTCCTGAACCAGCTTTCAGGCCGGATCGATCTGCGAGGGTCTGGGGGCCCGGAGCCAGGCCAAATCGCCCGTTTCGAAAAAAGGCGACGCCAAAGTCGGTACTCCAGATTTCGTAATAAAAGGGAGGGGGTCTGGACCCCCCAAGACAAGCCATTTCAGACCTCCCCCGTGGGAGAACCCTCCAAAACATCGCCCCCAGACACCCCAGGCCCTCCAAGATAACCTGGAAGAGACTCCCCCCGAAATGAGACCCCCCTCCCTTTATTACGAAATCTGGAGTGCATTTTCCTCCTCTGAGGTCCCGTCGGGGAGCTGCCAGGCGCGGCGCCGGACTGCGACGGCTCGCCGGCGCCGGGCTGCGGCGGCTCGCCATCGGCAGGGCCCTGTCGTCGTCGTCGTCGTCGTCGTCGTCGTCGTCGTCGTCGTCGTCGTCGTCGTCGTCGTCGTCGTCGTCGTCGTCGTCGTCGTCGTCGTCGTCGTCGTCGTCGTCGTCTTCATCGTCGTCGTCGTCTTCGTCGTCGTCGTTTCTCGTCGTCGTCGTTTCTCGTCGTCGTCGTTTCTCGTCGTCGTCGTCGTCCCGACCGCGCTCACGGCAGCTGGAAAGACGGCAGAGACGGCAGCAACGGCCATCGAGGTGGCGACGGAGACAATGCCAACACGAGCGCGCTAGACGGCCGAGCGGTTGTTTCTGTACCAGGTCGCCTGGTGGCTTCTGGGTGGCGCCGCCTGACATGGCCTGCTTCGCTGGCAACCTCACTCGGCCAGACCTCATCGCCTGATGTTCAGAGCCCATTACGTCATGTGATTTCTTTCTCGCACGACTTGCGACCCTACAATACTAGACTTTCTTCCCCGAGCGAACTGGCTCACATTCGCGACAGACATAAGTGCTGCAACCTACATGATCAAACCAGTGTCTGATGCGATGGCCTCGGCCTCAAACCTGCTTGGCATGCTAGAAGAAACCGCCCGGTTCTCCCACTTGCAGCACATAATGCCAGCTCACTGTGGGTACTATCCTTGCTCTCCTCGGGTACTATCCTTGCTCTCCTCGCCAGCCACGCCGCCGCGGTCGTCGCCGCTGCAGCCCCCGCCGCCTCCGCCGCGTGCGCTGCCGCTGACGCGACCGCCGACGAAGGATCGGGGGCGGCGGGAAGAGGGGGCGAAGGAGCAACAGGACGACCCAGAGATCGCACGTCGTGTTTGGTTCGCGGCGTGGCTCCAGAGGAGGAGGCTGAGGAGGCTGGGAAGGAAAGGGGGGAGGAGGAGGAGGAGGACGAGGAAGAGGAGGAGGAGGAGGAGGAGGAGGAGGAGGAGGACAAGGAGGAGGAGGAGGAGGAGGAGGAGGACAAGGAGGAGGAGGAGGAGGACGAGGAGGAGGAGGCCCAGAGGTCTGGGACCCCTCCTCTGGGAACGGCGCCTCATCCCGAGTCGTCTGTGGCGGCCCCCGGCCTGGACGGGGCCCCCCGAAGCCGACCCTTGCAAAAACCCGCCGCCGCGATCTGCTCAAAACGGGAGGACGCCAGGGGCAGAAAAACGCAGCGGAGCGGAGGGACGAGAGAGGAGAGGAGAGGGGAGAGAGGAGAGAGGGAGAGAAGGCGAGAGGGGAGAGAGAAGGAGAGACGGCGAGAGGCGAGAGGGAGAGAAGCAGAGGGAAGGAGAGAGAAGAGGCGAGGGGGCGGAGGAGAGAGGAAGAGAGAAGAGCAAGAGAGAGAGAGAGAGAACAAAAAAAAAAAAAAAAACGAGCGCGAGAGGAGCGCGCGCCCCGCCGCGGCCGCGGAGCCCTGGGCGCCGAGGCGCCGCGCCCAGTCGTCGAGGCCCTCGCACCTCGGGGGGCGGTAGCTGAAGGTCAGCGGGTACATGGCCGCCCCGTAGTCGTCGCGGGGGAACTGCGCGCGCGGCGGGGAGGGATGACCCGCAGGGGGGCGCGCGCGCGCCGCGAGGCCCGCGCCGGCGGCGGAGGCCCCGACGCGCGCTCCCGCTCGACGCGGCGCCGGGGGCGGCCCGGGAAGCCCGATGGGTAGGAGCTGGCGGGAGCAGGCCGAGGTGCTCCAGGTCCTGCTCCGGAGGCGTCCGCGTGTCCCCCCTCGAGGCCGTGCGGAGGCCTCCAGGTGCACTGGAGGCCCGAGGGCGCCCGGCCCCGGCCCCAGCAGCGCCCGCGAGCAGCGAGCCTCGATCCTCGATCGACGGGTCCTCGAAGCTCCTCGATCCAAGATCTTTCTCGAACTTCGGACCTCGAATCGTCGACCCCCCTCGTTCCTTCTCGATCTTAGATCCTCCCTGCTCCTCCTCCTTCAATGTGAATACTACTCTCCTCTCTCCCCTGATGACGTCCGCAAGATATTCGCCCCCAACCGCGTACTGCCTTTTTACACACAGGATTCCTGGGAACTGGGTTTTCGCTTTGGTTGTTGTTCAAAGTGCTGCTCCCGCTGAGGCGCTGGCCTCATGTTCGGGCTTCCGCTCGTTCCGAATCGTGCTCCCGCTGCAACGCTGGCCTTATTTCCGCGCTTCCGCTCATTCCGAATCGTGCTCCCGCTGCAGCGCTGGCGTCATTATTTTCAGTGCCATTCCACGGCGTGGCTTCCTGTCCTTCCACGTATGCCCAATAATCTAAAAAATAGCCCCCCGAACAAAAAAACATCGGAAGTGATTACACATTCGGTGTCGATTCGTTGATCTTTTGTGCCGCAGAAGCCCACCCCCCACTTCGGGACGTCGCCACGCAATGCTATGTCATGCTACGCGTTGATCTTCAACACCATGCTGTGCAATGGACTGCTATGCCATGCTACGATATCCGACTGTGAGAATAGAGAGGAGATCCACGCCATGGTAAGGGATGGGAGGGTAGGACGTCAGATATGACGCGAGCACACCTAGTTTGTCCTCCACCCCCTCCTCCTTCTCCTCCGCCCGAGAATGGCAGTGCGGCGAGAGAGGGGGGGCGGGGCGACCCTCTGAGAAGCCAGGGGGCTGCTCAGCAGCCCAACTGCCTCCTACAAACGTTCAAAGAAGCCTCCGATCTGCAGAATTCCAGGAAGGCCGCCCTCCTCGCTCCGTCCGCGTCCAACATCGCTCGAAGTCGAAGCCCTCATCATTATAATTATCACCACCACCACCACCATCATAATCCTCATCCTCATCCTCATCAGCATCACCATCAACAACAAGCACCACCACCATCATCAGCATCCTCCTCATCATCATCATCAGCAACAACAGCAGCATCATCACCATCAACTACATCACCACCACCAACAACAGCATCGTCATCACCACCACCACCGCCACCACCACCACCATCATCATCATCATCATCATCATCAGCATCATTAGCAGCATCAGTATCATCATCATCATCATCATCATCATCAGCATCGTCATCGTCATCAATATCAGCACCATCATTTCCATCGTCATTATCACCACCATCACTATCGTAATCGCCATGGACATCATCATCCTCATCTGCATCATCAGCACCATCAGCATGATCAACATCAGCATCATCAGCAGCAGCATCATCATCAGCAGGATCAGCATCATCATCATCATCATCATCAGCATCATCATCACCAACATCATCACCAGCAGCAGCAACATCATCTGCAGGCCCATGTCGCTGTCAAAATTCACCAACAGTATCATCATCATCTCCCCCGTCCTCTTCCATCTTCCCTTTCCTCTCACCCGGTCCTCATCATCGTCCTTCACGTCCTCTATATGTCATGCAAACAGATTGCCTCAAGAAGCACTACCGCACCGACGACCCCGCAGGAACAACCTGAGATAGGGTTTAAGAGACCACCTCCTCCGTCTCCTCCTCCTGCTCCTCCTCCTCCACCCTTTCCTCGTACGTATTGCCTGTTTGCGGAGGATGGAACCATTGAGGGCAACTGAATAAGAGAAGGGAAAAGCCCGACGCCGACTCCATCCAGGGAGCTTCCTGTCGCCGCCGATGGGGGGTCCATTCTCTCCCCACCCCCACACAAACATCTCCTCCCACGTCTCCTCCTCCTCCTCCTCCTCCTCCTCGTTCTCCTCCTCCTCCTCCTCCTCCTCCTCCTCATCCTCATCATCATCATCATCATCATCATCATCATCATCATCATCATCATCATCATCATCATCATCACCATCATCTTCATCATCTTCATCATCAGCATCATCATCCTCAAAATCATCATCATCATCATCATCATCATCATCATCATCATCAGCATCAGCATCAGCATCAGCATCATCCTCATCCTCATCCGGCTCCTCCTCCTCCTCGTCCTCCACCCCTTCTCCTAGTCCTCGAGTTTCTTCTCCTCCTCCTCAGCATCATCATCATCAGCATGAGCATTATCCGCCTCCTCCTTTTCCTTATCCTCCTCCGCCTCCTCCTCCTCCTCCTACTACTATTCCTCATCTTCCTCCTTCTCCTCCTCCTTCCCCTCCCCCTTCCCTTCCACCTCCTCCGCCTTCGCCTCCTCTTCCTCCTCCTTCTACTACTACTCCTCCTCCTCATGTTTCATCCTCCTCCTCCTCCTCCTCCTCCTCCTCCTCGTCCTCCTACTCGTTCTCCTCCTCCCGATCCGACTCCTCCTGCTCCTCCTCCTCATCCTCCTCCTCCTTGTTCTCCTCCTCATCCTCCTCCCTCCTCCTCCTCCTCCGCCTCCTTCTCCTCCTCCTCCCCCTCCTCCTCCTTCTCCTCCGTCCCATCATCTTCCTCATGTTCGCACGTCGCTGTGACCAGCTTCGTTCGGGATTACGCCTCATCGACCCCAGCTTGCTGTAAAAGCTGAGATCGGACAGCACGTGCAAACATTTCGAAACTCTCGGACCGCACTGTGGAAAAACAACGCAAAATCATATTCAGTACCGCCAGAAACGGTTCGGGATCCGACATGGCCTTGCCAAGGCCTACACGACGATCCTTGATCAAACACTCTCGACGCATCGCCAACTCATATCCACAATTGTCTGCCTGGACGGACTAAGAGTCGCCCATCTCTCTAGACGGCTCAAGATGGCCGGGGCAAGGTTCTCCTGGAAGAGAGAATCGACACGAGATCTGGCGAGGGTGCGCTGTACTGGGGTGTGGGGGTCCACCTCCAAAGCTTGCCAAGAGCATTCACAACCGTCGACACTGGGGTCCTGAGCCGAGCAATAATAGGGAAGCCGCGATGCGCATGCATCCGCCAGTTCTTGCACAAAAGGTGGTGCGCTCCAGTGCGGCGGGCTCCACTGCTCAGACAGCCAAGACACCATAGGCAGGGTCTGTTTTCCCGTATGCTGGAGCCGACGCCAAAGTGGCTGCAAATTGGTGTCGGTATCGAGAGCAGACCTTACAAGAGCAGCCACACCATGGGCCCTCATCGAGAGGGGCCTGAGCTTGGACCAGTGCCTCAAAGCCAAGAGTTGGCCAAGAAGCATCGAGAACGGCAGCAAGCGTAAAATGCGGTGCAACGCCCAAGATCCCAGTGTAGGATGGAACCTGGTATCAGCAAGAGCTGAGCAAGAGATTGAACTTCGAGGCAGCACGCGAATTAGACTTACCTACATATATATATATATATATATAGCATTATCGCGGGGGGGCGGCGGTCTCGACGGGGCTGTTCACAACTCTCACCCACTCCCGAAACGCACGAGTCCACATCTTATCCGTCGCCTCGGGACCGACCCACACACTCAGGTATTCCGCACATGCGACCACTGGCAGCGATTGCCACCTTGGTACTAACGCGGCCACTCGTGCTGAGACTTGGTGCTGCAGCGAGAGAGTGAAGGAGCCTAAGACAGGGACGAGGCTGCATTTCCTCCTCCTCCTCCTCCTCCTCCTCCTCCTCCTCCTCCTCCTCCTCCTCCTCCTCCTCCTCCCCCTCCTCTTCCTACTCCTCCTGCATCCCGCATTCGTTTATAAAATGGGCAAGAGCTTCACAGGCTCCCATCACCAACGTACCAGAAATGGTGTTTTGGAAGGATTCAGGGTTATGAGGGTGCAACAGTTACGTTGACTCGCTGTGTTGAAGTGCCAGGACCGCCCTCTGGCACGATGCAGGATCGTCATGGCGCAACAGTCAGGTTGATCCGTGGCGTTGGAATCCCGAGAACAGTGTTGTGGTACGCTTCAGAGTCGTCAAACGTTCCAACAAGGCAGTTCCCTCAAAGAAAATAGACCGCTGTAGGGGCCTATGAGGAGGGAGCTTGGAGGGAGGATGTATTCCAACACCGTTGACGACTCGTGGGTGCACACTGGTCCTCCTTCTCCTCCTCCTCCTCCTCCTCCTCCTCCTCCTCCTCCTCCTCCTCCTCCTCATCCTCATCCTCATCCTCATCCTCATCCTCCTCCTCCTCCTCCTCGGACGTCCATTCCCTGTGTTTTTTTTCGGTTTCGTGCGTGGTTTTTCGCCAAATCATCAAGGATGCTCCTCGATGGTCCTCGCCGAGGAAAAAACGCACACGTCCGAGCGATGCCTAGAGGAAGACAGCGTAGCAATCCAGGGTTTGATCAGCCCGTCCATAGCTGCTTTGGCATCCCGCGCCACCGATGAAGAACGACCGGTGGGAGAGCATCGCGAGTCTACGCTGGAGCCCACTAGGCGGCCAGCTGCGCGACGAGTGGCGCAGAGCCAGAATCGAAGGTGCGACGATATACTGCGTCAAGGCTTGCACTCCCGGACGGTCAGGCGTTCGAGCGCCACTGGCAGTGGGGTCAGCGTCATCGATCGTTGGAGCGCCCCCGTGCAGCGAACACGCAGCCTCGCGGTTGTCACGCGAAGTGGTGCGGCCTCAGGACGGAGCCGGCACGGCTCTGCGAGAAAAGCGAGCTCGGGCCGTGCAGGCAACGCCGCAGGAGACACGACGTCGCAGGCGCACGGGAGCTGGAACGCGAGGAGGAGGACATGCGTCCAGGACAGAGGGGCCTGGGCGTCTCGGGGGCACCTCTCGGGGGGCGGAAAGGTGGGGTAGGGACCGAGGTGGGGTGAGAGGAAAATCGTTCAAAACGGCACGCGAAGGGAGGAAGCGAGGGCATCCAGCTGCGTACGCTCCCGAACCTCACCTTGGGATAACCCCCCCCCCTGCGGCCCTCCGAGCTTCTGGGCCTCCCGGGGCGCCCTCGCACCCACAGCCGGCTCCGCACCGAGATGGCGGCCAGGCCGCGCCCCAGGAGAGCTGTGGGGGTGCGATCCTCGACCCCGCGCGCCCCAGAGTCTGGCAGGCGCCGGGGGGAGATCTGAGCCCTACGGCGTCACGAAGATTACCGAGGCGGCCTGCCTTGTTGTGGTTTGGACGTCTGGAGGCCAGGAGGCAATGGAAAAGCCATCCGGGATGAAGAACGATCCCGAGGGAGCTCTGGGAGTCCACGTCACGAAGAAAGGCACGACTTCGCAGGTCTGCGGCCACTTCATCCTCGACTCCTCCTCCTCCTCCTCCTCCTCCTCCTCCTCCTCCTCCTCCTCCTCCTCCTCCTCCTCCTCCCGCCTCCTCCTCCTCCTCCTCCTCCTCCTCCTCCTCCTCTCTCCTCCTCCTCCTCCTCCTCCTCCTCCTCCTTCCGAGGCACGCGAACCTATTCCTTGGCGCCGTCACTGCCTCGACAGGCATAGGCAAGTCGCCGCTGAAGCTCCACAACTTCCCGGTCGCCCCAGTCGCCGACATGTCTTCACTTTTGGCGGGGAGCTTCCGCTCAGCGCCTCGCGGCGGCCGGCCCCCGTGCGACGCGCCGCGCCCTGCAGCCCGACAGCGCGCCGCTCTGCTCCGTGGGGCGGAAAGGCTGGGCAGAGCTGGGAGCGCTGCTCGGCGTGTCGCGCCGAAGCGTGGCGTGTGCTCAGCGTGTCGCGTGCCAGAGCTGGGGACCGGCACGTGCCCGGCGCGTCGCGCCGAGGCGTAGCGGGCCAGAGCCGGCGGCGCGACACGCTAGGCAAACGTCCCTGGCCGCCTCGACGTGATGGTGGCCGCCCGCTCCTCCGCGCAGTGGCCCCCAGTTTGCGTGTGGGAGGGCGCTGGCCGACGGCAGGCTCCGCACCCTCTCCCCTTCCCCCCGTCCTCCCTGCTCCTTCTCCCCCCGATTCCCCAGCTCCAGCCCCCTCCTGCTAATCATCACGGCTCCCTCCTTCTACTCCGTCTGCTGCTCCTCTGCCTCCTCCTCCTCCTGCTCCTGCTCCTCCTCATCAGCATCGGCATCATCATCATCAGCATCAGCATCATCATCATCATCATCATCATCATCATCATCATCATCATCATCATCATCATCAGCAGCAGCAGCATCATCATCATCAGCATCAGCATCAGCATCATCATCATCAGCAGCAACAGCAGCACCACCATCATCGTCATCAGCATCATCAGCAGCAGCATCATCATCAGCATCATCAGCATCAGCATCATCATCAGCATCATCATCATCATAATCAGCAACAGCGTCATCATCATCATCAGCATCATCATCATCATCATCATAAGCATCGGCAGCATCATCAGCTTCAGCATCAGCATCGGCAGCAGCATCAGCATCATCATCAGCATCATCAGCATCAGCATCATCATCATAATCTTCATCATCAACATCATCAGCATCATCATCAGCATCATCATCATCAGCAGCAGCGGCAGCAGCAGCAGAAACAGTATCAGCATCAGCACCAGCACCAGCATCATGAGCAGCATCATCATCACAACCATCATCACAATCATCAGCATCATCAGCATCATCAGCATCATCATCGTCATCATCATCATCAGCATCATCATCATCATCATCATCAGCAGCATCAGCATCATCATCATCAGCAGCAACAGCAG